TGGGCTCATCTTCGCCTGAGTGGAAATGTCTGATATAAACTGAGATTTATTAGGTGTTATTTTTAGGTGACTATTATTGATTCAAATTTAACTGACTGCTAGTTAACTTGTGTTACAAGACCAAGGTTTCTCTCCAAAAACAACTTCTAAAAAAAAAAAATCTAATAAACAAATGTCATTACCATTACACTCATTATGATAAATTCATCACACATTGCAGCAAAATCCACTGTAAAGTTACTCATTGCCATTTTTTCTGATGTAATAATTAACATGGATAAAAATAGCTTGAAGGAGTTTCATTATTCCAAGATATCAAACAGTCAAAGATCACCCTGAAAAATCATCCATGTATCTGTTAAAATATAATGAGTGTTTAAAAGAAGGGACGGTGGTCAGAAATCAGTAAGATGGACATCCTGCTATTTGATATGAATCTTGTCAGCCGGTTAGGTTAAGTGGGTTAACTAAATGCTGAGGTGACACATTCCAAGGATCCTATTTCGGAATTACCATGTACAGTCACTGACTGCGAGGATAACATGTTGAGCCTTAAAATAGTCGCAAATTGTCTTGCAGGAGTGATCTGGGCACCATCTGCTGTTTGCAAGGCCCACAACGCTGTCTTAATGCATACATATTAGGAAAACAAAAACAAATGACTCTCCAGAAGAATCAAGATTTATTTTTTATCAAATTAATGCTTTGTAGTGTTTATATCTGAAACTAACCTTTCATAATGTAACCGCTTCACAGACTGACGCGCAACAGGAGGCCCGCTCATACCTGAGCGAGGAGATGCTTGCCGGTGAGTCTACAAACAAACTGATAAAAAAGAATATATTACCAATATCCGAGTCCTTCTGTTCCTTTAAACCGTATGCGTCTATTTCACAGAGTTCAAGGCTGCCTTCGACATGTTCGACACCGACGGTGGCGGTGATATCAGCACTAAGGAGTTGGGTACCGTCATGAGGATGCTGGGTCAGAATCCAACCAGAGAGGAGCTGGAAGAAATCATCGAGGAGGTCGATGAAGACGGTAAACAAAATGCCAGTTGAAAAAGTGGATACACAGGACTATGTAAGAGTATGGACAGAAAAATATTCTACTGAAGCTCATTTCCGTGCGTTCTTGCGTTTAGAAATGCAACTAGGCGTTGCATTCTCAGCGCTGCCGCAAGGAGCGCTAAAGTGAAAATTGGCGGAGCAACCGTTTAAAAAGTATCGTGCTAAGAAAATAAGCTAAAGAGCAACTTACTTTGAATATTAAAATCCCGTTTAAACTCAAAAATACATTGATGTAACTCTATCGCCCCCTTCAGGCCGATAGAAGCAAGCACGTCAAGTCTGTGTTTGCTTGTTCATCGTCTGTCTTGTGTAAAGTATGTTTCTGGCCTACATGATGATGTCTACATACATTTTAACATAGTAATGATAATATCTGTTTGAATTTAAGCATAAAATACAAAAATGAAGATTGTAATAGCCAATGTACTTTTTACTGGAAACTATAGGCAGCGGATCCATCGACTTTGAGGAGTTCTTGGTCATGATGGTGAGACTCCTAAAGGAGGACCAGGCTGGCAAGAGTGAGGAAGAGTTGGCCGAATGCTTCCGCGTGCTGGACAGGTATGTCATTTGATATCTTCTTGTGTGCACCTTTTTTTTTTTTTAATGTTACCCAAACTCACTTCAGCTTATGCAACACTATGAATCTGCAGGAACGGTGATGGCTATATCGACAGAGATGAGTTTGCTGAGATCATCCGCAGCACTGGCGAATCCATCTCAGAGGAAGAGATTGATGAGCTGCTTAAAGATGGAGACAAGAACAACGATGGCATGCTGGACTTTGATGGTATGATGGTTTATTGATTTCATTTCATTTATGAACACTAAATACGGTGTATGTGAAGTTAGATCAGCTATTGAAGCAACACCCATATCCCTTTTTCCTCAGAATTCCTCAAGATGATGGAGAACGTGCAGTAAAACAGAGACTCAAGGACATTCCTCTCCCCTCTCACCCCTGCCGACAGAAATCTTTACCTCTCAATGCCACTCAAATTCACTTTTCCCCTTTTGTCCTCTTTCTGCCTCCATCTCACCTCTTCAGAAGACAGACAGATAAACACCTGTGTGGGGTTTGCCAAGGTTGGGCTCCCCTCATGCAAGACCCAAGGAGCCAAGCTGTGGTGTGGTTCACAGGTTCATCATGTTATGATGGTGCTCAAGTTCACTAGAAACACATGCCATGGTAGACCCCATGTTTGTGGGTGTTTAGTCTAGATTTAGTCTAGATCAGCAGCTTGTTACCGCTGCATACACCAATGCCAAACCACAACAACCACTTCACTGTATTTAAGAACAAACGCTTGAAAACAGAATAAAAAATAAAACACAAGTTGTTTAGTTGGTCTGACATTTTGATTTGTATGGTTTTGTTTTGAGGAGTTTATCAATTAAACATTCTTTTTTTTTCTCCCGAGTCTCTGACCCCAATTAGTTGACTATTTCTGTATATACTAAAGACTATAACTAGTGCTGTTTATGTAGCAGCAAAACACAAACCACAAACTTTTATGAATATCACAGTGATATTTCACTTATGCCAATATGGCATTCAGTTTTATTAGACATGCTGTAGGAATAGCTCTCCTTCTCTATTGCACATTTACATTTTCAACATGACGTTCTTTGTGTGCTGCAAGTGTGTAAATCAGTAAATTGTGTCTTGTTTATCTGGTCAATGGCTGATGAGTATTATTTGCAAATTAAAGGGTTGCACACTAATAATGCAAATATAGCTGATGACTGAAAGTAGGTAAATTACACATCCCTCGTCTTTGTGAGATGACATACACTGGGGAACAAAACACTAAATGTTGAAAGAATACACAGTATAATAATAATCTTGCACATTATTAACATGTCTTAATGTGATTTACACCTGCATGTCTAAGTTATAGTTAGAATGCCTATTGTCCCTGAAAACTGAAAAGTCAGCCTCCCACTCCAAGTGTACAAACATCCAAAGCAAAAATCTCAAGATGTCCCCAAACGCCATGCATTAGTTACATTTACATTACTAATGCAAATGTGTCTATGTTTTGTGTGTGTGTGTAATTGTGAAGAATTATATCAGGCAATATTTACCAAAGCAATTCATTTTACACTTGCATTAACACTTTAATTTGCAACAACACTGTGATAAATTTGTATTTTTTCTTCAGAATATTTTATAAAAATAAATAAATAAAGGTACAATGTAAAATATATGGTCTTCTCACAGCATGATATAATATTTATAAAAGTATCTCCCTGGATACAAAACATTTAAGAGTTTAAAAAATGATTGTTATATAGTTTATATGCCAAGTTGTTATTAAGGATATTATACTAAGATTGTTGTACATGCCATCTAAGAAACAGCCATGTTTCTTCAGATTTGTAAGGTGTATGGATATACTTTTCAAAATAATAATAATAATAATAACAACAACATTAAAAGTTTAACAATGTATCTTTATTGTACAACAACTGAAAAAAACTTAAATAATGATAGAAATGACCATTCAAATTAACTGTGAACTGTCAAGCAACTGAAAAAACAACAACAACAACAACACCACAAACAACAACACAGAGCTGTAAGAAAGTGGGCTAGGGTTTACAACAAGTAGCTAAAGCTCCATTAAAGGCAACAATAAAACAATCTTCCTTCACGTGGATTGCATGAACAACATAGCAACAGATGGTCTATTTCAAGACCCATAATTTGCCTCGTCAAAGGCTTTGCGAGCCTTCTTCAGCTCCTCGTTCATAGTGAGCAGGTCCTTCACTCTTGCAAACTTTCTAGGGTCCTTGCGGATGAGAAACACAATGTCCTCCACCTGCACGCGACCCTGGCGCCCTATGGACATCGCCTTGTGTGTCATCTCCGTGATGAACTCGATCACCAGATCCTCCAGTATATCCACTGATTCGGTGTAGGGATTTTGGTCGTCTCCAAACCCATACATCATGCAGCGAAGCTCCTTGGAAAAAAGCCGCTTTCGTTTACCTTGGCCCGAGTCTACCCCGTTACTTCCGTCGTCTAAATCCTCATCAAAACCAGGGTCATCCTCTTCCTCAGCCATTCTTGAAACGAAACACAATGTGCTCGTTAGAAACAGTCATTGAAAACACAGGAGTCAGATATTCTATCTTAGAATCGACTAACAGGGACAGTGTTTATATAGAACTTACATGGGAAAACCGGGCAGGAACAAAAACAAAGCACCCCAACCAGCAAATGCAAAGACAGGAACTACTGTTCATTCATTTACACATAACGCGCCACTGAAAGGAGACATTAAAACCGTCAGCGACCCCTAGAGTTCAGGATGACGAACGTATTAAAGGGTAGCGCTGGAAAGTTCGAATCATTTCCGTAACTTGGTTCTTTCGAACAAATCAATTCAGCAATTCTTTTACGTCACAACGCTCCAAATATTCCAATGAAGTCAACAGGAAACTGGGCATAATTTGGCAAAAAATTTATTTATATACTTTGAATATATTTGGTATTTTTATGGTGTATCTTATCATTTTATTTGGTAAATATAATTAAAAATGAAAACGTTAAACTTCTGTTTAATTTTATATTTGAATTTGTTTATTATATTTTTCTCTCTTTCGTAAACACTGTGTTATTATGTTGTTTGCTATTCGGATGTCTTGTATTATGTAAATTCTTTGTGTTGTGCGTTTATCTTTAAATAAAACAAAACATCCCAACAAAGTCATATGTAGACACACTCTGTTGTTGTTTTTTCTTCACGTGTTCATCAGTCAAAAGTTCACTAACTATCAGCTCACTCATCAGTTCTCGGAACAAGTCAGTGGTGATTATATATTACTACAATGAGCTGAGCTCTTGACTCGAGAACCGCTCAAGATCGCTTCAGTTCGATTCGTGAACGCTTTGTTCAGACACCGGTTCAGCAACAAGATTCGACTCAAAAGAACGAACCGAACAAAACATAGCAAACAGTAACTATTCTGCTATCTAGCGCTGTTCTCAGTGGCTTGGGGCATTTCGTGTGTGTTTCTTGCACAAAATAAGAATCAAGCCAAAACTTTAATTTCAAAACATCTTGAGTAATATGTGCAAAATTCAAGATTTCCCGGGCTGCCGCGCATGTGTCAGCGTCCTCGTCATAGCAGAAGTAACTACACAGGGCTGTCTGTGGGTTCACAAACCGGAACAGTTATTTGAATGGCACATTGTCTCGCGTTCATGTCACCCTAGGGCCCTGAGACGACTCGTGTATCCAAATGATGGTTACATAGTGTTTAATGCTACCAGCTTTTCGTTTTCGAGGACTATGTAAACAGTGAGGTAAGAAAATGTGGTCACTGACCTTATAGCTACTGGTTAACTTTAGCTGTAAAATGGCACAGTCAGCGTGCTCGACCTGTCACAGCATGAGCTGAGCTAACGAGGTTTTTAGGGCGTAAGACAACATTTAAGTTAGATTTGAAAAAAAGACACAAGAGTTTATTGCCTAAATGGCTAACAAAACAAAACGTCATTAGTTTCAGCCCACACTTTAACAGTCATTACGCACGTGCTGTTCTGTTACAATATGTTGCACTTTTCAACAAGTGCTTCTTTGATCAGTTATCAGTACGACACAATCGACTCGCGCACATCAAACTTTGGCCCTACATGTTCTAATCATGTTAACATACTTTTGGGCTAGCTCTGGTTAATTCTTATTACCCTCCTCTTTCTGACTGTGTTTAGCTGGCCGTTGGCGGATCCGGGTTTTACAGGATGGCGTGCCCGACGCAATTCATCTGCAAGGCGCTGCGCTCTGTGGGCCTGGTGCTTTTCTACTATGTGTTTTCCATCGGCATAACATTCTACAACAAGTGGCTCATGAAGGTGAGATGTAGATCAGCTGGGTGAAAGCCTGCCTGTTACTAGAATTTCATTTTGTTTGTTCGTTTGTTTGTTTGTTTGTTTGTTTTGGAAAGGGCACTTATTTTTGTCCATTTGGTTTGTATAATGCCTAGAATTTCATTTTGTTTGTTCGTTTGTTTGTTTGTTTGTTTGTTTGTTTTGGAAAGGGCACTTATTTTTGTCCATTTGGTTTGTATAATGTCTGTTTTTATCTCCCGTTTTCTCATCTGCCTCAGGACTTCCACTTTCCTCTGTTCATGACGCTGGTTCATCTCGTAATAATTTTCTGTTTCTCCACACTGACACGCTTTGCCATGCAGTGCTGGATGGGAAAGCCTCGAGTGACTCTTCCCTGGAAGGTTTACCTTTCTAAAGTGGCCCCAACAGGTAAGAATTTGTGTGTTTTGGGGGGAAAAAAACTCATCAGTGAGTCCAAAGACCAAAAAATGTGTTTGAATGTGTGTCATAAGGGTGGCTGAGGAGATAAAACCTGTTATCTTTTTCTATCCAGCACACAGGTTGGGTGGGTGAAGTCAACACTGATTGAATCTAGAGAATCTAATTGACCTCTGCTTGAATATTCTGGAATCTTGTCCATAAGCCTATTATTCATGATTAATTCATGTTCAAGTTTTAGCACAGAATTAATTATGCTGTTTATACTTTGTATTAAAGTGAGAAAGTGGTTCATCATTATATCTATACAACTGTTTGTCTGTGTCCATCAGCCCTGGCGACAGCATTGGATATTGGACTGTCCAACTGGAGCTTCCTTTTCATCACTATTAGTTTGTAAGCATGTTACTATTATTTGGATTTTATAGTGCTTGCAAGGCAGAACTTTACTCTTATTCCTCAAACAAAAAACATCCCTTAACCTTAAAGGGGTCCTATTATGCTTTTTCACTTTTTTAATTTTAGTCAGTGTGTAGTGTGTATGTTTGGGCATAAAAAAGATTTAGAACGTTACAAAAATCAAAGTCCACTCCAAAGGGAGATATTTCGTTTTTAAAAAAATCCCAAAACAAAATCAAGACTTTGTAAAAGAGCATAATAGGACCCCTTTAAGTACTAGACACACAGCTGTAATTGAAACATTTAGTAAATATTGTTAGTCTTAGATGTGCTATCTGTTTTTTAAATGACATATTCAGATGTGATTGTGCAGTCAAATATTGTGTGTAATGTCTGTTAAAATTACACAAATGTATAAATGTGTATATTAGTGTTGTTCCTGGCAACCAATTTCCTACATTTGTCTCATAGGAATCTTTTTGTCACATAATCAGATAAATAATTTTTACCCACATATCATCTTCATAAATGGTTACAGAGAAGAACACAAAACCAGACTTTCAAGTAGGGCTGTGCAAAAAATCGAATGCGATTTTCATGTGCATCTCATCAGTAAAGCCGCTTCTGGTGATTAGTAGTAAATCTCCAGCACGTGCTTTCAGATGGAGCGGCATTTACTACACAGAGCCGTAGATCACTGAGAAGCTACACTAAATCGCGTTCAAAATCGGCAATGAATCGCCTGCGATTTTTTGCCCAGCCCTACTTTCAAGTAATTCCAAACACAACAAACTCGCACAGAAACATGCACCTTGTTGCTAGGAGATGCATGATATTAAAACACTATGGCTGCGTCCGAAAGCTCTAAAACCGAAGGCAGCATTCCAAGGCAGGAAGGCATCAAGGCACGTCTGAATCCAAAGTTAGCTTCACTTCCTGTCTTATGAGATGCCTTCATCTGATCGATTTTTGAAGGCAGCATAAATGTATCCTTCGCTGCCTTTGATATCCCACAATCCTGTGTGTTCCATTCCGTGACGGTTGAGCTAAAAAATAAAGATGACGCTGCCTCAGAAGCCTGTCCGAAATCCGTTTCATGAGGTGCCTTCGTGCAAAAACTGTCATTGCCTGATAGGTCAGCAAGTCAGCTGCCTAGGCTTTCGGACACAGCCTATGTTCTGAAATCGGCTCAAAATATCAAACATATTTGATATCCTCTGACTGGATGAAATCAAAGCCATCTTAAAAATCTCTTGTAGGTACACCATGACCAAGTCTTCAGCCGTTCTCTTCATTCTCTTTTTCTCTCTGGTCTTCAAGCTGGAGGAGCCGGTAAGTGTGAAATACACTTGATTCTTGAATAAAGGACTTAAAGTCAGCTATTTCATGCAATAAAGTAAATAAAGTATAAGCTATTGCACACAATAAAGGCCAAATCAAGATGCATTGTCCAGTTACCCATAGGCAGCAACGTGCAGTATTTCATAAGACATTTTTTATGTGAACTTTGCTGAACTGGCTGCTCTCTATGTACAGTGGGTACAGAAAGTATTCAGACCCCCTTAAATTTTTCACTCTTTGTTATA